GAGTTGGAAAAGCAGAGAGGAGCTTGCTCATTTTATTCTTCTGTATGGTATTGAGTCTGTATGGGATGGACTCATGTGGTTATGACTTAATGTAATGCTCCGAAAAACGATGCTTCTGTAAACAAAGCTACACTACTTGATTTGTGTATATTTTTAAAATAACAGACCTCTAAAAATAGAATTGCTATTATTAGCATAGCTGTTTTTAACTTGTAAAAACCACAGATCACATGTGCGTCTTCCCTGTGAAATGTTTTATTTTTAGGCCTTAACATATGCAGGTTTTTGTCATGCCTATTGAAAGAATTAGTATCAATGCCTCAGTGAATGTTTCTGAAAATCTTGTTCTGCAGTATTGTCTTTTATAGTGTAGATATTTTTTCACTGTTATTTTCTACATCCCTTGTATTTCTAAGATATTTTTCATGTTGTTTTTTTTTTTCTTTTTCTTACATGCAGAGTTTCTTTATAATTAATACCAAAACTACTACTTAAACTTTCAAAGATGGCTTTTAGGATAGATTGTCAGGCAAGCTAAATTATTTCTATTTCATCTCTACTATAGGAAAAGGTTGGATGATTTACATTGAAATCTATATTATTTTAATGCTGTTTGCTCAGTGTCTTATGTTGCTTAAATAATTTTCATTGTGTTTCACTACAGCTTTTTTGTTTTAAAGTAATGACTTTTACTAAAATTACAGTTATGTGCTTCACTGTTACTGAAGACAAAACATTACTTATGGGGTGATTTCAGGAGAGAAGCATATCTTTTGGCGTAAGTTTCCTAGACTTTGTGTAATTGTTAGTTTGTAGCTTAGTTTGTAATAGCACTGATTGCATTATTGGATCTGCAAGACTGTTGTGTTTTTTATGATATTTTCTGTGCAGTGAGTCATAATAATAATAAAGCATAATATGGCATAATTTGTAGGGTTTTCTACTGATAAAGTATTCCCAGACATATCCTGCCAGCCATGTTACTTAGGGTAAGCTTTAAAAATTTCTTTAAATTCATTTGTAAGCTCTGGGCTCGACCCCCAAAGCTGTGCAGGCTGGTGACCCCAGGGTGTTTCCCTTCCAGCCAGGCTTATTCTGGGCATGGAGGCACCTGCTCTGTCCTGTGACAGTGGCCCAAGGCAGGTGCTGAGGGAGAAGAAGAGCAGAACAAGAATGTATGAGGCTTCCCCAGAGTCCTTTTCCAGGACTCTGAAACTTTGAGTCAGGTGTGTGTCGTGGTTTAAGCCTAGCTGGCAACTTGGAACCACGCAGTCGCTCGCTCACTCCCCCCCTTTTCCTTCCTCCCCCCGCTCCCGGAGGGATGGGGAGGAGAATCGAAGGAATGTAACTCCCACGAGTTGAGATAACAGCTCTCCAGTAACTAAGGTATAATACAAACCACTACTGCTACCAATAATAATGATAAGAGGAATAACAAGGAAAAAGGACACAACCGCTCACCACCCGCCGACCGATACCCAGCCCGACCCGAGCAGCGATCTGGGCCTTCCGGGTAACTCCCCCCAGTTTATATACTGGGCATGACGTGCTGTGGTATGGAATACCCCTTTGGCCAGTTTGGGTCAGGTGTCCTGCCTCTGCTTCCTCCTGGCTTCCCCTCCTCTCTGGCAAAGCATGAGACTGAGAAAGTCCTTGGTCGGAGTAAACATTACTTAGCAACAACTAAAAACATCGGTGTTATCAGCATTGTTCCCAGGCTGAAAGTCAAAAACACAGCACTGCACCAGCTACTAAGAAGGAGAAAAAATGACTGCTGTAGCTGAACCCAGGACAGTGTGATAACTGAGGGTGCATTTGGCAGCCCTCAGTTATGTCCATTAACTTGTCCATTCCCAGGTTGAACCAGTACAGATCTCCAGCATCTATATTTTCCTGTGGCAAGAGGTTCCACACTATAACCAGGAGCTGTGCCAGAAAAGGACTCTATTTGTTACCTCCTAGTTCTTTCATTGTACAAGGCAGAGAATCATCAATCTCTGCTTTCTCATGCCACACCTAATTTCCAGATCTTTGAGAACACAATGTATGATCTTCCAGAACATAAAAACATTGACAGTGGTATCTTTTAAAAAGTGACAATAGCAACAATTTTTTCAGACCCACATTAGAAGACCCTGTGCTTCTCCTCATCATCTCTCCAAATACAACTGTAAATTCTCTCTGAGCTAAGTAATTCTGTTTGATCTCTGTCTTTTGTACTGTATACTTACTTTTTATAATCACTTGCATCTTCCTTTGCACAAAACCCTTTGTGGCCCTCAGACAAGGAGTCTCCCAGAAATAGTCAAAAGTAAAAGTAGAACCCTAAGCTATAGAAGTGGCTTTAGTAAATCTATGGAAGCATAAGCTTTTACTGGGAAGAAAGTGTAGTGAATGCTGAGAAACTATATATTTAACGTCAGCAAGCTAAACTAAATACATTTTGAGAGAGCATCTGTCTAAATTTCTAAATCTGGAAAAGGCATACAGATCTTATAGAAGTCTTTGAGCTTCCCCCAGGTAGATGAGTGTCCTAAATATTTAATATTAACTTCTAAGAGGAGTTAATTGTAATCAGTAAGTCAAACAACAGCATCTCTTTTAGGTGCTCCTCAATAATGGGTCTCTCACAGGCTGCTATGCAAAGCATCAATTGGCAGCTGCTCAGGTAATTTCCTTCCCTTGTGTCAGCTCTGGAGCTTATCATGCCTCTTCACAAGGGACTTCAATTACCTAATGCAGCAAAAACATAGGTTTGTTGAACCCTTCCAAGTGTACTTTGATGAGTGCCAGTGCTGACACCAAGAGTATTTTGATGAGTTAGTTCTGACACAGAGAGTATTTTGATGAGTGTTCACGCTGACACAGGTAGGTTTAACACTTGCTGCTGAGGGAGCACCAAGACCTGCTTTCATCAGTAACCAGCTGTGAATTCACTGTGGCTGAGGGGACCCCACCTTTTATAGACAGGTTTCCCACGGATGCTTCTATTCAGAATTTATTAGCATCCCTCTTTTTGTTGCCTCTGTCATTTACACTTAGGTACAAAGACTTTCTTTCAACATGCATTGACTCATTGCCTGTCCTTGTACATTCTATGTTCTGCCAGCATCTTTTATAGCCTAATTAGCTACTTTACATCTTGGTGTATAAACTGTGGTGCATTCAGATCCCCATACATTTAAATTTTTTGCTAGACTTCAGGAGCTTTCCATTCCCTGGTTATCTTGGGAGTCTCTCTGTGCTTCCAGGTAATTGAATTTTCTAAGCAAAGCTGTCCAGTACCTGTCTGCGGTATTTGAAGAGAGGTCTCATTTGGACAATGGTATTAATCTTACCTCAGTTTGACTGGAAATACGTCTTCTTTGATGTATTCTGGGATGACAGCTGTTTTTTTCAGGAAGGCACCCTATTGATCTGGCAAATCATTTTGCCAGAAACAAGTGCAATCATGTCTCTCTTCTTTTTAAACCAGGCCCTCCAAAACAGCATAATAGAAATTCCCTTCAGCCCTTAAGTGCATATATTTGCTCTTTGTACAGTTCAATTTGATCCTTTTTCTAATATCCAGTCCTGAAGATCATCCAGTTCTTTCCTGTGGGAGTTTTTTGATCTTTGTCTTTATTCCCCATGCTTTCCAACTTGCCATTATCAGCACATTTTATTAGAGCGCTTCTGGTTTTTGTGCCTGGGTTATTAATGCAAATACCAAGCTGGCAGTTTGTAGGGCCGATATGGAAGGACCCATACCACCAACCTTGTGCTGCTCTGGGCTGTCGCCAGTGCCTACGTGAGCAAAACAGTCCATGGCCCTGCTGCCTGGTTAGGCAGGGCAATGCTCCAAAGCTGAGCGGCGGCTGCCCTGGGTGCTGCTCTGCTGTCCCTGCCCTCCCACAGCAGGTCAGCTCGCTTCTAGCCTGGGTGTTTGAAGGAGAAACATTCAAGTTTGCCTCTTTTACTGAGAAGGTCTGAGCTCGCTGCCTCTTTTCCCATCAGTCAGCATGCCTGTTGTCATATTTTCTTTGCAATTCTTCATCTTCCAGTTTGATTGCCTTTTGGGTGGGACAATATCAAATCTTTATATGGATGTATAAAAATAACCTGTAAAATTTTGAAATTTTTGAAAATGTTTGGTGACATTTCTGATGTAGGTGATGTGCTTTCCTAGACAGTAACTTGGGCGTGAGAGGATTTGACTGGTTTAGCATTGAAGTGTCTTAGTAAATACAGTGTGCGTTTAACTTACAGAAATTTGCCTCAGGTCTGATTGTTTTTTCTCTTCAGTGTTTGTTCCAAAGCCTTGTGTACTTTTGAGGCTGGGTTTGCTGTTGCCCAGAGCATTTTCCTCTGCTGGAGCTGCAGTGCTGCCAGGGGGAACGGTTGTGAGGGATGGTCGCTGGGGGAGGCCTGCTCTGGCTGCCCAAGGTCGGCATGGTGCCTGCTGCCTGCCTACACCGGGTGGAACGGGCTGTGAGCCTACAGTGTGGCTGATGGCTCTGCCTGCCCACTTAGTGTGATCCTGAGCTCACCATATTGCTATCACAAGGTCATTTCATGATTGTGCATTGTGTCCTTAGGAGTCTGCTGGAGGCAGCTGCCGTTTTACCTCAGATACAGCCTACAGCAGGAGTGACTTCAACTGTTCTATTATCCTTCTGCTGTTTTCTTTCTTTAAAATTCACCTAACTCACATACTGCTTTTAGCAACAAATATAAAAGTATTCTGAATTATAATTGTTATCACTGGCTGATTTTGAACCTTCTGTGAAGAGAACCCGCCTCAGTTTTCCTTGTCCCACCTTCTGGTATTAAAAATGAATGTATCCCACGGACTATGCGACTCCATTGGAGGTGGTTGTTTCAGTGATTTTTATGAACATTTTAGGAAAAGTGTCCTGAAGGTTTTGCCCTTTTAAAATGTAAATGTTTAATCAGTGCTTGCTGAGAGGGAGTGGAAGAACACATGTCCGAGGCTTATGGTTCTTTTCTTCTTCTTGCAGTGACCTGCTGTCTTCTGAATATCTTGAGAGGCATATCGAGCAAGGTGGGAAGACAGTGGAAGTTAAAGTAAGAATTTCCTGGTTTATGCTTTGATTTTTAAATTTGCTTTGCTTTTGATGCTCCTTGGCGGGGGGGAGGGGAGTGAGCGAGTGGCTGTGTGGTTCCAAGTTGCTGGCTGGGCTTAAACCACGGCAGATGCTAACGCAAACTCACCTGTTTTGTTGTAAGGAGAACTATCTGAGCTTTCAGGTCATTTGTTTCACTCTTCTGAGGCAAATGTGTTTCACGTCTTCTAACTTTTCAGGTTTTTAAATAAGAGAAAAAAAAACTTTTATTGTCAAATTTAGTACATTAATGTTTACATCAAAATGCTATCCATGAAAAGTGTATGCATGGTAGTTCTTTTCACTAGTAAACATCATTTACTTTTGATGCCTGTTAAAGAAAATTTTTCTGGTTTGGTAGCTAGTATTTCCTCATTGTACTAAACTCCAAGTTTGTTGTTTTTAATGAGCTTATTTGTAAGTTTGAGAATAAAGACATTTATTGTGTAAGATTTCCAAGTATCTAGTCACTGTCTCAAATTCTGGATTTCTTTCACTGGCTATTTGTTGGTGTGTTGGCTACAAGATCCTCTTGCAGTTGTCTTCTGTGAAATGTCCTGCTGTCTTTGCAGAAGTGTTTTGTTACTTGCATGCAACATGGAAGAATTTTCCTCAGGACCTTCTGTTTGTTTGGATAATATTTTGTAGATGTCAGGTATAAAAATCTCTGTATGCTACCTAAAAGGTGCATGACTGCAATATATGCTGTGCGTAATGGAAACTCTTTAAATCTGGCAATCAGGTCAAATTTTATTAAAAGTTTACATTTTATTTAAAAACCTTTTGAAGTCTTTTACTAAATCTGAGATCACCTAAATACCCTGAAACAAATATATTAATATCTGCAATGTGAAAGTGGAAGTGGAAGTCCTTTAGCCACCGAGTAGCTGAAGATACCTACTTCCTTTGGTTTATCCATTTCTAGCATTTGCAAACTTGAAATCTGCTTTCTTTTTACTCTCTGATAATAGTCTGCACATATTATCAGACTGAGGCAACACATACCGTGTTCCATTAAATTGTAAAGACTAATTTCTCAGTCAATTGTACTCTGTAGTCAAGAAGTCTTGACTCAGATTCAGAATATGAGTCAAAGCAGAAGTAAAGATAATAGCTGATATTATTAAGAACAAAACAATCCATTTGTCTGCATCAAGGTGTATATGAAAGTTAGCTAAATTAATCTATCTGAGTCCCATCACTGAATTAGTACAAATTGGTTTCTGATGAGTAATCCTTAATCAAGCAAGGAAATGTTTGAAATCAGTGGCTCATGTCATGTAAGTGCTGTTTAATTGCAGGGGGAAGAGACATGTGGATTTGGCCTTTTAGAGGAAGGGTCATAAAATGTTTTCTGGGCGAACACCTCTCAGTCTTCAGGGTCCCAGAGATTATTTCCCCTTCAGTTTGCTGTGGTATACCTTCAGGGATGGCTATCACTGCCTTGCTTAGTACTCTCAAGTATGCTTTAAGTATAGAACCATCATTGCTGCATTGACCTTGATGCTTGAGATGAACAGAATTGGGAGTGAAAAGGTCACAAGGTTGCACTGCAAAGGAGGGGCATTGCTCCTGCATGGATGCTCCCCTGCACCTTGTGCACCCATGGGCAGGGGTTCAGGGATGGCCAGGGTGTGCAGGGGAGTGTTTCTGCCCCCTCCTCACCCACTGCTCCAGGAGTTCAGCAGCAGTCCTACAGAAGTGTGCCAGGAAGGGGGATATATATTTCTTGCTTGTTTTGCTACATCCAAGTGTGTGGGATTGGAGGAGAGGGAAGCAGCTGATGTGACAAAATGTCCGGAAGAGCCTGTTGGCCACAGTCATGGGCATATTGTCAGAAAAGTTCATATATCAAAAGATTTTTGGAAGAGTGCAGGCTGCCGAGTATATTTTGATGCCACACACTGAGTGAGGTTAATTTCAGTACCCAGTAGATGTTTAAAAATAAATCTGCTTCCCTCTGTCCAGCCAATATTTTTCAGAGCACCTGTAAGTGCGCTGGAGAACCCTGTTTGTCCATCAAATAATTTCTGAAAAGCCCAGCAGTATCTGTTTTGCATTTGAGAAACTGAACTCTGGTTTATATCAAATGTTTTGAAAATCTTACTGCAAATACAACGTTTTTTCCTTAATGGTGATTTAGTACCTTCAATTTCTGTGGAAATTGTTTACCAAAACCGGTAACACCACCTTTAAATTGGTACTTACAATACACATAATTATTGTACTAGATTTTAGGGATTGTGCAGATTGCTTAGATACTTATTTAAAAATAGCTAGTAAAAGGGTGCAACTTATAAATAAATCAGAAAATACACACTCTGCTATGCAGCATATTCTTAAGCAGAATCATGAGAAGAGGTATTTCAGAAAGGAGCCAGGTTTCTATCAGTTGCTTCGATGCGCTGCTCTTCACCCACCTCTCTGTGATTTGTCTTTGGCTGTAGGCTGAAACAGAGGCGGCCTGGCAACGTCTTTTGCTGCCTTGGTGGGAGAAACAGTGACTGAAAGAAAATGTCCATCTGCCATCCACTGCCAGCTGCTGGCTTTGAGCAAGCCTGTTTATACAGCAAAAGGGCCTCCTCTGTTCTTGGTCTTCTTAGTAATATGAGGAGATGTGTTTTTTAAAATACATATATATTTCCCTCTTGCATTTCTTGGTGCAGAAATACTGCATAAACATGCAAATCGCCTGTGCTGCTGTTGTGCCATCAGCAGGAGCTTTGAATCACTGTGGGAAGGCAGCTGTATGTATGTGCACTCAGCAGTTTGGGAATGTTACAGGCATGAATGTGTCTGGGAAGTAGATGCCTGCCTTGGCTTGTATGCGATGTGTTGATAACTACTTTTGCCAGTCCTCCCCCTCTCCATTCTTCCCCCCCTAAAACTTCCTGTGCTGTAAAATACATATAGATCTTCTTGCCATTACTTAGGATGCTTCAGACAGGAGATGGGGGAAGAGAAAGGGAGAAACATTCATATCATTAAAAATGCCAGTTTGAAGGAGGAAAGAGTTTTTTATGGGGAGGAGAACCCTCAGTTGTAACACACCTTTTTATCATAAAAGAAAGTTGAATTATATTTGATTGCTGCATAACTTGTTAATGCATTGCACTGTAGTGAAGGCGGAATGTTACACATGTTTTTGCAGGATGCTGCCGTTTAGCAGCTGCAGAAGAGAGGCTTCTCTGTGAGATGTCCTTGTTGATTTGGCATAGTTAGGCAGCATCTAAGACATTCTTATTAAACCAGCATCAATGTGCAATGCTTAAGAAAAACAAAAGGAGGTAGATCATAGAATCATAGAATGGTTTGGGTTGGAAAGGACCTTAAGATCACCTAGTTCCAACCACCCTGGCGTGGGGGGATCTTTGAATTATTTTCATGTTTCTTACTTCCTTTTCTTTAGATCTAACTGCTAGGAAAGCAGCAGTATTGGCCTAAATTCCCTCTGGTAGCAAAGAGAATAATCAATTAATAAGAAAGAGAAAAACCCTTCATGCATTCCCTTTTCCTGATTGTGTCAGTCCAGATCATCCTATGTTCACAGCACATAAATACTGAACTTGTGTATACTTAATGTTGCTGCAGTATATCTCTGTGTCCTTTTATCTCGCTCTCTTTTTTTTGGGTTATCATTCTGTCACTGATGCTGTCGGTAAGACGAAAGGCAAAACCCAGCTATGGTGCTGAGTAATTCACATTGCTGGATTTTTCTCCCTCAGAAGGAATAACTGATATCTATTCAGTGACAATGTCTCATATAAAAGGTTTCAGTTTTCCTCTTAGGAGAGTGTAGAAATAAATGTTTTTGCCTGTATTCCGCAAAAACATTGGACAAGCCTATGACTTCTTAGAAAATTGCTTTCTGAAAAAAATTAAGCAATGAAAATAGTTTAGATCCAAGAGAACATGAATAGGTGAGTTGTGGTAGATAAATGCCATGAATTTTTGATGGCATGTTTAAATATAACTAGAAGGAACTATATTTCATAGACAGACCTAGAATTCTTCAGTGCGGTGGTATGAACACAATAGGTGTATTATGGGCACAAAATACGGGCAGGAGTGCTTACAGCATAAAAGAACATTGCTTTTTGCTTCTACTTCACAGCATGCTTATGACCATGATAGCATCAAACAACATAAATGGAGTAATATTAAATGCTAAGTACTGTTTTCCTCCATTGTGGTGTTGCCAGAGAAGCTTTTGCTGAATTTACCTTGTGGCTTGAGATTGCCTTTTGGCTTTGTTTCCCAAGCTGTGCTGAACCATGTCGCTGGTCCATGCGATGCTCAGCCGCTGCCTATGCAGCAGTGAACGCAAGTCATGCAGTGCCTAGTGCCTTTCTTCACCCCACCCGTGGCCTTCCTCTCGAGCTGGGGTGCCCCAGCGTGGCCTTGTGCTCTGCAGTGGTTCTAGCAGAGGTGCTGTCATTGCAATTTGGGGGATGAGGATTGTGGGGCAAATGCATTTTAATGCTGCACAGCAAAGCAGAACTCTTAGTTTGCAGAAATTGTCATTTCCTTCTGTTATGCATGGTGGTTGGTTGGTAGCATGCACAAAATGCCTGTTACTATAGCTTATGGTATTCTAATGCCTGTGTGCAAGAGGGGAAGATTATTGTTCTTCATTGCCTTGCTGTGATTAAAGTCTTAGCTTATGTATGCCATGTATTTGAAAAGCCCTTTTTCAGGAAAATAATATAAAGGCAGCCTTGACATGGTGGGTATTGCTTTTTCTGTTAAACTCTGTCCTTCAAATCTGATCTGCTCAGGGAGTCTGCCTGTGATTGAGGGCACGTCTTAGTGCCTGTGTTTGGTAAGACCTTATCCTCAGTAGTATCCCAACATTTCACTCTATTGCCACAGGTATGGACTGATCATAAGACTATAATGTTTGCCCTGCAGCGAGAATAAACACCGAGCCAGTGAGCAGATCATTTTAATCATTGATCGGTA